CCAACCAGCATCATTTTTTAAAAAAGTATTTTCACAAATTGTCAAAAGTTTTATGTGCAAAATCACCAAATCTGTTGCTTCTCACAATTGGTGAATCAGGATAATCAAATGTATTCTACTACTTTTGTAAAATAGTTCACACCATGGACTTTTAGTGCTCTCTCATTTGCTAGTAGAGTCTTCAGAAACTGGAGAGGGTTTGGAATTGTAGGTGTTGGCAAATCAAAAAGCCCATTGCAGACACTTATAATCATCCTTATACTTCTATTGCTCTAGAACCATTCCTGATACCAAAATCTATATTAATCAGGATTCTCAAGGTAAACAAAACTTATAGAATGAGTCTATCTATCTGTCTATCTATCCATCTTTTTATCTATCTACCTACCTACCTACCTATCTTTCTTTCTATCTATTGATCGATCTATCAAGGGGACTTAAAAGAATGACTTGCTCTAGCTAGTCCAACAATGACTGACTACTAATGAAAGGTCTAAAAATTTAGTAGTTGTTTAGTCCATGAGACTGATGTCTCAGCCTGTCATTAATGTACACCAGAATACCAAAAAAGTAGCCTCCAATGCCAATGATAAAATGGGCTTTCTAAGAGAGCAAGCAGCAAACTTCTTTTTTCCACATCCTTTATATAGGTGCCATAAGTAATGGTGGTCCAGGTTAAAGATGGATCTTCCCAACTGAAAAAGATATGTATTGGATTAAAAATGGGTCTTCCCACTTCAAATGATTTCATTAAGGAAAATCCTTCCCTGGTATTCCCAGCCTCTTCAGTTTTAGTTATTTCCAGAAGTAGTGAAGTTGACAACCAAGAACAATCCTCACAGCCTGTATCAGCATGCCTTCCCTGCCACCACAGCCTGTACTCTTCCTCCCTGACACCATGGTCTGTATCATTCTTTCCCTGTTACCCTGGCCTGTACCATGCCTTTCATGCCACAAAGAACTATATGCTTGCAGTCCGAGAGCTAGAAGAAATTCTTTTTTGTTTTTTATTGTTTTTTTTTTTCTCTCTGGTATTCTGACACAGAAAAAAAAAGTAGCTAATACAGAAAGTGATGCTAAGAAGTGAGTTCATTGCTGCAAGCAACCTGTATCTGCCTTGTCTGCAACATTTAAGTCAGTTATACTTCTTTTTCAGCAAACCTCCTGACCTGTGTATCTTGGGGCTCTACTTGTTGTTCTCTCTTACTGTAAAGCCTGGAAAAGAAAACTGTGCAGAGGCCATGCCCCGGCCTGCCAAAAAATTCCATTACTTTTGAATTTGGTCTAATTCAGGGTTATTTTTATTTGTTTATTTGTTATTTTTATTTATTATTTATTACAATTTATTCACTTTATATCCTGGCTGTGGCCCCCTCCTTCGTCTCTTCCTAGGCTCACCCTCCCTTTTTTCTCCCTATGCCCTTCCCTTAGACCACTGATCAGGGAGGTCCTCCTCCCCTTTTATCTGACCCTAGCCTATCAGGTCTTATCAGGACTGGCTGCACAGGAACCTACCACAGAGGGCCTCTGAAAGACTCTACTGATTGGGGTATTGAAGCAGATGCTGAAACTCATAGCCAAACTTTGGGCATAGTGTAGTGAATCTTATGAAAGAAGGAAGATATAGAAAGACCTAAAGGGGAGGGGACAGGAGCTCCACAAAGAGACCAACAGAACCAAAAGAACTGGGCCCACGGACCAAAGACCAAGAACCATGGACCAAAACTCCTGCTCATTTATAGCCCATTGACTCAGTCTCCAAGTGGATTCCCTAGTTAGTGGGGCAGGGGCTCTTTGATCACTTCCCCCTGAGGGGGAAGCAGCTTACCAGGCCACAGAGGAAGACAATGCAGCCAGTCCTCATTCAAATTCTTAAGACCTTTCACATTTCAGGCCAAGTTCTGTATAGCTGCTTTAGACAGTTAAATGAACTTGAAAGGACTGACAGAATCAGGCTATGGAAAACCAATGCAGAATTACTCAATGAATGTTCAGCTCTGGCAAATATTTGATTACTTTTGCCTGTTTCAGAATGTGTCAGCATTACCCTAAGTTTAAGAGGCTTCTCCAATCCATTCCTACCTCCTTTTCTTGCTCAGCTTTGGGCTTGCATAGTGGTCTGAATCTTCTCTGCTAACTCACCCTCTTCCTTTGTTCAGGCATAGCAATTGCCTCTAAGCTATTGGATGTTTGATTTCAGTCTATTCTCAGATGGTAGGAACTCCATTTGTTACCTTAAAATTTTTCTCTGTTCCTACTTATCAGGATTTTGTAAATTATGAGAAGGGGACAGGAGCCACAGGTAAAAAATATTGTCCTAAAATTGAAGGAGACAAGAGAAAAAGGTACCAATTGGAGGTGTAAATAAATAGGAAATAGAAATAGAGCCTAGTCAAGACAACATATACTTGATGCCCGAGACAGTCTCAAGCTGAGAGAGGAGAAAAGGAAACTAGAAAGGAATTCTGAAATTTAGATGACTGTATTAGATTGTTTTGTAGTTCTGTGGTTATGAGTTTGCTCTGGATCTTTAATTGAAAAACAGAAGAGCAAAGTCCTTTATTGCCTAAGAAAGAAGACAAAAATTAGTATTCATTTTCGATCTCACAGAGAGGGAAAACATGTTGGTAAAATAAGTCGGGTAAAAAATATGAAGGAAAGTCATTTGATTATAAACTGTTGTTACTATACTAATTCCATAGGCATTTAACTAATTAATTAATTTATTTATTTTTGTTTCTTCGAGACAGGGTTTCTTTGTCTGCCCCAGCTCTCCTGGAACTCTCTATAGACCAAGCTGACTGCAATGTCAGAGATCCACCTGTCTCTGCCTCTTAAGTGCTGCAATTAAAGAAATGAGTCACCACCACTCAAGGATAAGCATGCTTATATGCATATATATATATATATATATATATATATATATATATATATATATCCAGAAGACAACATTAATCCATCTGTGCATCTAGGAATAGGTGATGTGATGTTAAGTGTTAAAAATATATTAGGTTAATATCTGGTTAAGAAAGATTCAAAGATAATTATGTGATAATAAGATTTTTGTTTGTTTGAAACATGGGTCAGAATATAGCCTAAGTCAGCCTTGAACTTGAACTTTTCCTGCCTTACTCTCCAGAGTGCAGGGGTTACAATGGGATATGATAAATTTTTCAAAAAGAAAATTATTATATGCCAAGTACTAGTAGATATACTAGCTCTTGATAAGAAAACGCAAGGTCTCATTTTTGAATAAAGTGTGTGATATTGTTTGTGTGGTTGTTACTGACAACTCACATTCAAGTGTCACCGTGTCAGTATGTCGTGAACTGGAACTACATTTCACAAGATCATCTCTTTCTGTTTTCTAGTCTGTGAAAACTTGTGCAAGGTGAAGGGCATCCCTCCGTCTTCTGGTCCATGAAAGACTTAGCTTTTTGATAATTCAATCCAACAACCTCATTTGACCTAACTGAACCAGTTCCCTGCAGTCCCCAAGAGGCTATTTGAGGTTTCATTCTTGTCCTCTTTTTCTGACTCTGTAGTTTGTTTTAGAAAAGCCAGAGCTGCTGAGATTATTTAAGTCCAAGTGGAAGCTTGAAACAGCAGTGAAAAGAATGAAAAAAGTCATGCTACTGATGAAATGATGACATCACTGAAACAGACATCTGTACTTGCTCAGAACCTTCTTCAGCTTTGTGAGTCAGCTCATCTGCTCCATTGTTTAATCCACTTAGGGTCAGGTGTTTGATTGCACCCTAATGGAGTGTCTCATAGTGGGTATGTCATAGTGAAGTATTTCCATAGCTTGAAATTCTAAGATTTGAGTCCTGGTGTTTATAATATGTAAAAAACTTAGGTAAGCTTTCCACTGACTTTGATCCTAATATAGCCATTTTTTAAAATGAACATGATAATACTAAGGTTTTATGTATATAAAATATATAGAGAACAAATATGAACTACCTTTGCCAGAACAGCTCTCTATAATTAATGTGAAATAAATACAGTATGTTTTATATATAAATTCAAATTTATATATATGTAATTTTTAGATATAAATTCAAATTAATCAATTCCTATTCTGAAATTATAAGAAATTTAAATAATTCTTCTAAAACACTGATGTACACTAATGAAATATATATCTAACTTCTTGGCATCCATCTTAGGTTTAAAACAAGAATGTTCATGGTTTGCCCAGGTTGACCTGATACATCTATGACATAGGTGCTACACACAAGGCTCGGGAAGTATTGGAGAAGAAGGGATGGAAAGCAAGGAAGTCTGCCATAAGAATGTATCTTCTAGATATGACAAAAGTAAGCACAACAATATGGCTGCCTCAACAAGATCTGAATAATTTCAATCACAGTAAATATCACAAAAAGGATGGGAGAAATCTCACAAGGCTCCCACCCATAGATGAAGAGAGACAGAAAATTAATGACTGTTGAGAAATAGTCCAGAAATGAGACCTTTAATTTGTTATCTAATACCAAGTGGTTGGTTCTAAAAACATGCAGAAAAGCAACACAAAATGTAATCAGCAGCATTTTATGTTTATATATTTAAAAACATATCTGTAGCAATAACATTTAAAGGACAAGAGAGCATGAATTCAAGAGAGTGTTGAGTAGGTATGGGAGGAGTTGAAGGGAGGAATGGGATGATGTAATACTTTAATTTCGAATAGACTTTTAAAAGGATACCTGAGGAGGTAGGAAATAACTCAAGGCAAATAGAGCTCCCAGAGACCTGACAAACAGAGACGCCGTGTTTATCAGAGGAGTTCATGCAGACAGAATGCCTGGGCTTTAAAATAATATGCGGTCATGGTCTGAGCACCTCGCAGTATTGTTTGGTAAACAGGCTCAGAAGCCATTTCTATTGCCTGTGTGCACTTTATCAGACGGTGAGAATGTAGGTTATTTGGCACATTTTGATAGGGTTGAGAGGACTGTTCTGGTACGAATTAAACTTTTTAGGAGAGCACTTACTGGCATCCACTTCAGTTACCACGATGGGCTTGGAGAACTGAATCCGGAATCCCCAGGGATAATCTCCAGTTCCTTTGAATAGTCTCACAGTTCGCTCACGGACTGCAAGGAAAGCAAAGAAAGCCTTGCCTTGAGTTGACACGTAGCACTGTACACTGTTAAGTACGGTAAACATAGCAGGTTTGCCTGTAGGTTCCACGTCAGGCCTAATAGATACGTTCCAAGCAATACTACGTAATAGAACGTATTAATTACACAAAATTCTGGGTTTTTCATTGTAATATTTTTTATACAGTGTGGTCTAATTTACTCTTCACAGCAGATCATGATTGCTTAAATTGTTATATTTTTAGAGAAGATAATATTGAGGTGTAGAGGTGTTAAATATTAGTGTCAAGAAATTAAGGCTTACTACTGCTAGGCACTACCAAACCTTAGGATTCATCCTTAACCAGTCTGTCATAGGTAGCCGGAAAGTCATGCAAGTCTTGCAAACCCTAGTTCCTTAGTTCTGTAAATGAGAAAATTTATTACAACATTGTTCAAAGAAAAATGAATATTGAATCATAGCCCATAAATTGGGGTTTTATAAGAAGCCAAGAAAAGAAAAGACCTGGCTTTGTAAGAAAAATATAGAAAAAATTGGTTTTGAAGAGGTTGGTCATCTAACTAACTTTAATTACTGTAGCCCAGTTATCAACCCACTTTTCTCCCTAAAATTGTTTTCTTCCTGCTACACCTTCTTTTCTGTATCATTTTCTCTGTAGTGTGTGTGTTTTCCTCACAACTTCTGCGTGTTAAACAGTTTAGCTATTCATTATGTCAACCCATTTTGCCCTTTATGCCCACTGTGAAGAACACTTTCCCAGTTTGAATTCCAGATAAAGTCTCACAGATCACAATCTTCTCTCTTCAGAACTGTTTAAGGTTGTTATTCCTCAGAGATGAGAAAAAGATGTGATTCCAGGTTGTCAACATCATTTGCACTTTGCCTCGAAGACTTGTAAAGAGTAAATAATGATCAAGTATAAATGGAAACTTTCTCAAGCTTCAGAAGCGGGCTTTTAATACTAGATCGACTCTGTGGTACTTGTGACCATGGTAGGCGATTAAAAGAGAAGAATGCCAAGCTATTTAAAAGAATTGGGTAACCTAATACCTTAAAATGAAAATTTAATAGCATTCCCTTTCATAAAAGGTAGAAATGTGTTAGAATTTCTAGGAAATATGTGTTGCTGCTTCTTTTCAACCTGTTGCTTCTGTTACTTCTGTGGATGTTATTTTTTACTTCTTAGATTTAGATTTTTCTCCAGTTCAAAGTGCAAGGATGTTTCTTTCTTCTTTCTTTCTTTCTTTCTTCTTTCTTTCTTTCTTTCTTTCTTTCTTTCTTTCTTTCTTTCTTTCTGTGGAGTTGCCTTATCTTAAAGTTCACATTTAAAGGCACTTTCAGAATACCTATGTGTAGATAAAATATGGGCAGAATCACAAGCAGGTAGGAACTCTTGAGACATTGAAGTGATGGATTACGAGGCTCCCGAAAGTGGTGAAAGCTGTGGACCACTGATAGATGGTCTTAGATGAAGCACCCACAACATTTGTAAAATATTATTATTAGTTTATATTACTTTGCAGTATTTGTAAGATGATTTACTTAATTTTTTCTCATATTTTAGGATGAATAATTATATTTCATATTAAGCTTCTTATGAGATGTAACCAGTATAGCAGAAGACAAAGCATTCTGCACGGGCACACTCAGTTGTGACCTCCTGTTTGGTCAGATAAAGCAGATAAGCAGCTGATACAAACAAGGAGATATCCATCCTTTTTCACAGGTTCATTGCACTCCAAGGCAGGAGTCATTAATTTACAAACCTTTGCTGTGCACTGCTTTACCCTCAGGCATGTTCTTGTGTAATGGGATGGTGGCAGGAAAGACGGAAGAATCATTTCACCTTAAAGCTTAGGTGCTGCACACTTGTTGCCCAAACTGGCACTCTTCAGGGAGGGGCTGGAAGGATACAGTGTCTGCATGTGGACTCCTGAGGGATGCTTGTTTTCATAAAATGTCTGAAGAAAACATGTTCTCCTCTTGTTGTCAGGAAAAGCACAGTAATATTGCTGAAAAGGTATTCCGTGTGCTCTGCAGTGCTCTGTGCCTCTGGGAAAGTTTGTTATTCATTAAGAGAATTCTCTGTTGGCATGGCTGATTGGACAATGTCTTATTGGATCTCATAATTTAAGAGGCAGAACTGGGAAATTCAAGGTTTTAGGAATTAATATTTCAACACTTTGAGATTGGCTGGTAGCTAATCAGGAAAAAAAGAAAAGCAGAAATCCATTTCTGACTGCTGTAACAATAATTTTCTAACATCTCTACTTTTCAAGGTTTCTTGTTCCCTCTAGGTTACTTTCTTGATGGTATCTTCTGCTTTTGGCAGATTGATTTACCCAACAAATATTTGATTAATGGAAGATTTTTATGTGTTGATTCAAATCAAATCATACTTGCTGTTTTGTTTTCATATTCCATGAGACTATTACAATATCTATTGCCTTCAAGGTCATGTTTCTGTGGTTTTAGTTTTTCAATCAAGCAAATTGAATGTCAAAAACATGTATGGAAGAATAAACATTTCAATAAAGTCTTGAAATGGTGAGCTCAACTGTATAAGTCTCCTGTGGGAGGACACAATCAACCTGTTTGTGACGTGTTCCTTTCCCATTCTAAAGACAATTTTCTCATATTTTAAGATTTATGGTCCTGCTTTCCCATGGCTGTCTAGTGAGTAATCATAAGTGCTACACAGCTGCTGACAAGCCACAAATGAATGTCATTGTTGTTTCACACACTGGGTACATCATCAAGTAATTTATCCCTCTAGACAACACTTCCTTACTTGGTTGTAAAAATCCAAATGCAAGACAAATATTTTCATAAATATAACAAACTCACCCACCAAAATAACACTCCCTGTGTGCAGGAGGGTTCAGGTATGTGCTCTTATCCCCGATTCATATTAGTTGTTTTTTTTTGTTTTTTTTGTTTTTTTAAATTTCAAATCTGGAATCACTATTTTGAAGGAACGGCTCTTTTTAATTTTGTGTGAGAATTTTATGTGAGTATATATTTACATAATTTCCCCTCTCCCTCTCCTCCATCCAACTTACCCCACTTTCCCTGACTCCCTCTCAAATTCACGGCCTCATACACACACAAACTTACAAACACCATCTGGTGGCTTCATTCACTTAGTTCTGTTCCTGCGTATATGTGTTTAGGTCTATTTGTAATTGTATAACCGATTGGAGGCTTGTCCCCGCAGAAGACAGATTCTCCCTCTCTCAACAGTCACTAACTGCGTGCAGTTCTTCATCTAGGGGTCGAGGCTTTTGAGATTTCCCACATCCATTTGGCATATTAATCCTTCGTATCATTTCTTTTTAAGTTATAGCTTTTAAAATAGTAAGAAATTAGTTTTAGTAATTTCATATTCTTTAACACATGCCAACTATTCATATTCTCCAGTGTTCAGGGCTCTAGCTATGAGTTTTCTAAGGCATTTGCATCTTGCTGTAATTCTTAAGTCCTTACCAGCGACTGGTCTTGGCTTTTTACTAAGACACCTGGGGCTGTCTTCAGGATCACCATCATCTCCTCGGAAAACCCATGCTGTGGAATGAAAATTCTCCGTGTAGAATCCTTTTTCTTCAATATCAACCCGAAAGCCAAAATCCACAGAATGAGCATCATCTGAGGTGACTGAGGAGCACAAAAGGTGAGAAATTAAGCTACTACGCTCTGGCAGGGAAGAAGACCTAGTGCTCTGGTGGTCAAGGTGAGAAGCACTGAATAAAGCAGAGGGGAGGCCCATGCATAAAGAGCGCTATCGGTGGACATGAAGAAGTTCCTAAGTTTGCTGTGCATTTTTCTTGAAAATAATTTACAAATTCTTAAAATACCGTAATCAAAACAAATATTCCCAGGGCTGTAGAGAAGGCTCAGCAGTTAAGAGTGCTTACTGCTCATTCACAGGACCCAAGTTCAGTTCCCAGAACCTATATTTAGTGGCTCAAAACTGCTTGTCACTTTAGCTGCCAGAGATCTTAGGCACTGCACTGAGACACACACACACACACACACACACACAAATAAAAATAAAATGAATCTTAAAAAAAAAAAAAAAGCACATGAAAATACTGCTTTAGGGTCTGTACCATGGGAGTCGGCACACTGCACAAATATCCTTTAGTTAAAGAAAAAATTTGCTTTTGGAAAACAATATGTTACTGCTTAGAGGTCAAGTTGAAACCAGGTAAGACTAGGAATTAGCTTTCAGAATCCATTTTTTTAAAACACCAAGTTCAAGGAAAAGGATTATCAGGTTCAAAATTCTGTCATTCCCTCTGTGCTTGAAGGAGGCACTAGAAAGTGTATTTCCAGAAATCTCACTGTGGGCTTTTATGAAGAGAAGCGCCTACAAGGAGACGTGTCAGTCCTTCCCTGGGATGCTGTGGAAGGCTGCGTCCTTAAGAGAAATGAGTTTGTCCTTCCACGTTACACTCCACGTTCCTTTGTGCCCTGGCTAGAAAGTTCAACCTTGAGTAAAATCCTGCTACATCCCTTTCAGTCTTTCATGCAGGTATAGGTGAAACATTGCACTTCAGACTCGAAAGTTATTTTTGAGAAAATGATATCATTCATTTGCACTTTTTTAATTTTAATTTTTGATATTAATTACAGTTTATTTGCTTTGTATCCCAGCTGTAGCCTCCTCCCTCATTCTCTTCTAATCCCATCCTCCCTTCTTCATCCCCTTCCATGCCCCTCTCCAAGTTCACTGATAGGGGAGGACTTCCTCCCCCTCTGTGGCCTGGCAAGGCTGCTCCTCCCCCAGGGGGAGTTGAGCAAAGGGCCAGCCACTGAGCTCATGTCAGAGACAGCCCCTGCTCCCCTTGCTAGGAAACTCACTTGGAAACTGATCAGCCTATAGTCTGCAGCACTTCTTAAACACAATAGCAATCTCACTTCCCTCTCTGATTCTCCTCACAAACTGTAGTTGTTCCTATTCCATTCTCAGGAAGTCTCTGGGTAAAATCTCTTATTCCCACCTCACCTGACCCAGCAAGGCAGAGTTCTGCGGTTGGTCAGTTATAGAAAGGAGTCTATTGCCTCCATCCAACCCCAGCTAAGCATCTGTTCTCATGGTTTTCCCTGGAATATCATTCTTAATGGTTCTTGCTCATTTCCATTTTTGCTTTTTTAATACTCAACTGAAAAGAATAACTATTAGTCATTGTCCTGACACATAGATAAATGGACAATAGATTTCCAGCTTTCACGTTTGCTTAACTTATGTGAGACTGCACTAGACATTTGATGGCTTGGGTTGTTTGAGGCACGTTCATTCACTTGCTGAACTGATTTGAAATATATGCTCTTCTCCCATGAGCCAGGTGCAATTTTATGTACACTGGGGATAGAGTGATGAGTAAGACGGGCTAGTGGTGCAGTGTGAGAGTTCAGAGGAAGTGGGGTCAGATGGCCGCTGCAAAGAGAGGCATGTCTAAAAAAAGTATATCACTGTAATCCATCCAGAGGATCAGGCGGGGGAGAGGAAGGGATGCATGGGTGGATAAAGCACCCCTACTATAAAAATCTAAATCTAAAGTGACAAACCTGACACCTTTTGAGTGTCAATATAACATCAAAAGTATGAAAATACCACATCTGCTGTTGAAGTCACAGTCAGGATATAGGTGTACTACAAATAGTGTATAAAATCATGTGCACGTGATATAGATATCTATCCTAAAAGAATTTTGTTTTTATGTTTGGACCCTCTCCCCAGATACTGTATAATATATATACAAATGCTCTAAAGTCCCCCCAAATCTACAATCTACAATCTAAAATATCCTACTTATATTTTCATAGGTAATGCCAACTGAGTAGATCTAATATGTTTGGATATAAAAAAGAAATGACATATGGCAATATTATACAGTTATAAAATTGGAATGCAAATAATGTGAGACATGGGACATGGTGCTTATTGGATTAAAACTAGGAAAATTTAGGACAGAATAATATAAATAGCTTAAATCAGAACATAATTCCTTCTTTCCACATAGCATATCTCAAAACACTTTAAGATTTTCTTTTTAAAGAATTTCACTTTTTAAGTAAGTTAGAATGTGACATTTAATGGGACAGAAAAAGTAAACCAAAATTTTTATAATATTTTATTGATGTACCTTTCCAAACTTTAAGGCTAAATTAAAGCTTTCGTTGTTTTTAAGGTATAACAGGAGTTTCTAAAGTTTTAAATTCATTTCCTACATTCTGTATCTTAAAAAAATAAGAATTCGGTTATTTTTTAAATGTTTATTGATGTAGTTCACAGGCTTCTGGAACAATTGGTTTATCTTATGATAGTTTCCCTTCAGCAATAAATGCCTACATTGGATATGCAATCATCCCTTGTCATGTGCGGGTCTCAGGGCAGGTCTTTATATGGATCATTGTTTTTATCAATATGTATGAGGCTGTTCAAACAGCTCACTTACTTACAAACAGATGTGATTCTGTGGATGAGTAGCTCTATATTTATTCAGTTAGCAAGACAGAGTTAATGAACATACTCTTACATCAGCTGAGACATAAAATTTGTGTTAAAATCCAATGAAGCAGCAAGCCACACACCTGTCGAAAATATAAAGCTCCTAGAGGTCTCAACATCTGCTCCGTGATGAACCTTGATCTAAGCGGGTAAGACCATATAACTCTTTGTCAGAGAAAGTTTGTTACCAAATTAGGTTTGCTAGATTAAACACTTAATAAATGAGCAGTTCAAGCATAAGCTATTAAACGCCTTTGTATTGCTGAAATTTCAGTTTAACTCTTTCGTTCTTAAAGAATACAGGTGTGTTCTTTTACTGTTCATGTTTTGGCTTTAGCTTAAATAATAATAATAATAATAATAATAATAGTAATAGTAATTGTGACAATATGGTTAAAAACATACATACATATGGTTAAAAACATACATATGGTTAAAAATACACAATTAGCTCTGAACACTCAAGGTTGCCTTATGCTTCTTTCATTCCAGTGTGTCATCTGAAGAAAATGAAGAGGTGATATGTGAAAAATCAAGTCCCTGTTTAACTGCCCCAGGGAGACCAAGGTTTTTTTTTTGAGTTGAGCAAGATCAAGTAATTTGTTGTTTTGTGTAAGAGCATGAATGCCAGTTAGACTGACTGAAATTGAAGCCAGACTCTAAGACTAATAACATGTAGCTGAATGACTTTGGGCATGTCACTTATCCTTTGTATGAGGCCCAGATTAGCAAAATTAGGTTGGAAATAAGTAACATAATTCACAATTCTACTGGGAATTATGTCAAAAAGGAAACACATTATGAGTAGCTTAGAATGGCACCTGGTATCTAGTAGGCTGATCATAATCCTTAGGTTGTATTATTTAAACGTTTTTAGACAGACATCATTTTATTTTAGATAGATATGTATTTTATTTTATATGCATGAATGTTTTTATGCATGTAAGTCTGTGCATCTTGTGCATGCCTGGTGCGCACAGAGGTAAGAAGAGGGTTGCTGATACAAGGGGAATTTCAGATGTGGGTGCTGGGAATTCGATCTGGGTTTCTTGCAGTATCTCTTAGCCTCTCAGTTACTCTCCAGTCCTCTTAGCTCTTATTATTAGGAATTAGAATTATTTTCCTTACTTCTTCCCTCCTTCTCTCCCTCCCTCTCCCTTCCCCTTCTTTTCCTTCCTTCCTTCCTTCCTTCCTTCCTTCCTTCCTTCCTTCCTTCCTTCCTTTCTTCCTTCCTTTCCTCTTTCTCTCTCTTTCTCTCTCTTTCTTTCTTTCTTTCTTTCTTTCTTTCTTTCTTTCTTTCTTTCTTTCTTTCTTTTCTCAGTGGCAGCCAATATTTGAAAACTAGAGTTCCATAATAATTTTATTAACTAAATGAAGTATGGGAAATACTAAGAGCTATACTCACATGATTAACCCCAAATTCCTGCTACATCTGTTTGTGATCCAGGGGCCATTTAAGATTGTAAAAATCAGAGGCCCATTTTGCAGCTCCTTCCCACTCACATTACTAGCCTTCAAATTATTTACCTAGTATATCTTAGTCAGCATTCCCCACAGTCAGATGGATTGATCAACTGTGTCAACACACATAAACATGTCATTCTTAATGTCTTTTCCAGTTATTATGTAGGAAGTCAGAGATGAGTGAGATTAACAGAGTGAAAATGCCAGTGGTAATGATGTTCAATAAGGCCTTCGGGTTTTAAGTCATATATTAGTAGCATATCCTTACTCTATAAATGAGAAAAAAATTCAAACCACACATTAAACAACACTAATGCAAGCAGCTCTGAGTGAATTGCAGGCTGTACTGAAAAGTTTCTCAAGAAATGTAGTATGCCTTCAGTGTGCCTGAGGCTTGGATAAGCTGAAAGAGAAGAAACAGACAGTTGTTCTTGTGTCTAACAGGAACCAAATTGTTAGGGTATGTTTTCATTCAAAACAAAATTTTCCTCAAAGAGAACTCTATCATTGTTTAATTAAAATTATGTTTGGGCATTAAATTTGAATTTACATTAGCATTACAGCTGATCTTGTGTTATTTCAAGTGGAGTATTGGTAAATGTTTTAAATAACTTTCCAAATTGAAAAAAAACAAAAAACCAATAATCCCTGATTTGCTGTGCTTGCCAGTTTCCAT